AATCATTTATATTATTAACAATAACTAAATTTCACATTTATTAAGTAGTTGTAATTTGAACAAAATAGTAAATATGGAGTCATAAGCTTAATTAAATAGTTAGCTTGACAGCTTCCTTCTTTGTTTGAAGAACCAAAAGTTGAATATGTTGACTCAATATACTCCAAGAGGGGGGGTGAATTGGATTTCCAAAAATTCTCTCCTTTTGCAACCACAAAACCAAAATTAAAGATAGTAGAGAAGAAGAGCTTGCTCAATGATTTTATAGAGGTTCGGTCCAACCACTTAGAACCTAGTCCTCTACCTTGGCCTCTACCTTGGCTTCACTCACCTCCTCCACACTCTCCACTAACAACAACAAGGGTGGCTTAAAGGAGTCATTCAATCCTTTTACAAGAAGAAGGGTGTTTCTCTCAAATCTCACCCCTTTACACTTAAACCCCAAGAATTCTCTCTACAAATCACTCTTGAAGGATTAATGACACCCCCAAGATCACTCACAAATAGAACAGGAAGAGGATTACAAGTAAAGATCTCTCAAAGATCAAAAACTCAAGTTAAAGCTCATGTAGGTAGGTAAAGATATTCAATGCAATGCTCTCTAAACTTCTTTAGATCTGTTACCAACTATATTTATAGCCCCTTGCTCAAAAATAGCCATTTGTATACGTTGGGGTTCATTAAATGCTCTATAGGACGCAAAGCTCGAGTTGTAGGAGAGCCGGCTTAACTTCTTAGAGCCGGCTCTACACAGCCGGCTCACCATTTCTACAGCCGGCTTTGTGGGATTCTGCACATTCTGTTTTCTCCGTAGAGCCAGCTGCAAAACGCAAAGCCAGCTTTGCGCGTTTGCTGCACGTTCTATTTTCTTCCACAGCCGGCTGCAAAGCCTAGAGCTGGCTTTGGGATTCCAACTTTAAACACATTAGGTTAAATACCCTTTTTGGTCCCTCTACTATAGGAAAAAGCCCCTTTTTAGTCCTTATACCAAAAAAATCCCCTTTTTGGTCCTTACTATTAACAAATCCGGCCCTTTTTTAGTCTTTCCGTTAAATTTTGCTCACATGGCACGTTAACTTAACTGGAACAGCTGACGTGGGTATGCCAATGTGTAAAAGATGCTTATGTGAACTTAATGACAACCTCCACATCACCCCCCACGTCACTCTCCACTTCCTCCAGCCTTTTTTTTTTTTTCTTTTTTCCCTTTTACCCTGAAGCGAACCCAAGAGCCTGGGTTCGCGAGGAACCTAGCTCGCGAGTTCGCGATGAACCCAGGAGATTGGGTTGGTGACGAACCCAGCTCGCTAGTTCACGATAAACCCAAGCGCCTGGGTTCATCGTGAACCCAGCAACATTTCCATGTCAGTGTCACCTGCTCCAAATCAATCCACAAACAAGCACGAAATCACTACACAAATGAAATGCTTCTTTTTCATGAGATTAAATCAATCAATTCTCGCACCCAAACTAGCAAGTCTTCCAACAAAGTCAAAAAAATCCAACCAAAAGGAAAATGTTTTAATTTCTCAGATATCTCAGAAACAGCCTGTGATGCTTTCCCAAATCCAAACAAAATACAAAGAGAACCTAAAGGCTTAAAGCAAAATCTTTGTGATTGAACAAATTTGGACGATTTGGGGAAAAGAAGAATACCATTGAACCCTTCAACCGTGGCATGAATTAAATCCCTGGTAAGAAGCTCGTAAACTTGAGCATTTGAGCAGGTTTCATCGAACACATGATCTGCAAATGCGAAAATGAAAAAGAAAAGCTTAATTGAACAAAATCCACATTGATAACATGGTAAATCGAAGATGAAATAGAAATGAAGATCCAGGTTTTTACCAAAAGTGTAAGAGACACCAGAGATGGGAGTGCCGTGAGGCTTGTGGAGGGAGATGCGGTTGTCCTCGACCTTCCAGTAGGTTCTGATGGACGTATCTTGGGAAACCATGGTCTCACTCTCACAGCAACGCAAATCTTCTCCATTTCTTAGGGTAAGACTCATTCCTCGCCAACCCAGGCTCCTGGGTTCATCACGAACTAGCGAGCTGGGTTCCTCGCGAACCCAGGCTCTTGGGTTCTCTTCGGGGTAAAAAGGAAAAAAGAAAAAAAAAAAAGGCTGGAGGAAGTGGAGAGTGACGTGGGGGGTGATGTGGAGGGTGTCATTAAGTTCACGTAAGCATCTTTTACACATTGGCATACCCACGTCAGCTGTTCCAGTTAAGTTAACGTGCCACGTGAGCAAAATTTAACGGAAGGACTAAAAAGGGGCCAGATTTGTGAACAGTAAGGACCAAAAAGGGGATTTTTTCGGTATAGGGACTAAAAAGGGGCTTTTTCCTATAATAGAGGGACCAAAAAGGGTATTTAACCAACACATTAAATAATCTTCAAATAACTCGACCGTTATGCATTAAATGCACCCTCATAGCCGATTGCAAAGTTGGAGTCGGCTTTGCGTCTTTTCTCCGCGCGCGCCAAACAACTTGCTTTTAACTTTACCCGTAGCTGGTTGCACCTCCTAGAGCCGGCTCTCTGCACTTCCACAGCCGGTTGCAAGTTTCAACAGCCGACTTTCTACATATTTTCAAGCCTTTTGGTCCATTTTTAGTGCAGTCCAAGTTTACTTACTTTGCAATCTTTTGACATTTTAACTGCACACTTAAATGAACCAATTAGTCACTCAAATGTGTTTTGTAATCATCAAAATCATAGGTACAACAATCTCCCCCTTTTTTATGATGACAAAACACTTTGAAAATAAATTAATGAAAGCACATATATATTTTAATGAGAGCTCATATGGAAACAAAAATTTCAGCATACTTTCTCCCCTTTTTTGTCATCCATCAAAAAGCATATAAGCATAATCAACAAACTCCCCCTTAATTCATGTATACAACCTTTAAAGCATCAAAAATATGTGATTTAAGCACAATACCCACAAATTGCTCCCCCTCAATGAAAGCACTTAAGATCATAATCATCAAAATCATAGGCAATCATAAAGTCATATACAATTAAAATCCACAATTCATGATAACAAGCTAAGAAATGTGCATAGATAATGAGCGTAAATTTTGGGAGAGAATCAAATCTTGAATATGAAGAGAGGAAAATGGCCAAATATTAAAAATCTATCACAATCAAGAGGCTTTGTAGTAAAAAAAGATATCTCATTCCAAGTAACTATGAAGGTCAAAAAATTCTCTCTCTTTTTTGTTATCCAACAAAAAAGTTTGAAGACCATATGAAGAGCAAACAATAGAGCTCCCCCTTAATAAAATGACTCATGAAAAAACATGAACATACTTATATAACAATCTCATCAGTAGCATCAAAAACAATGTTAATGCCATCATTAAGTACAACATGTATATTTTTTACCCTTGAGATATGTAATCATTTATCACATTACCTTTATAAGATCTCTCTTTTGGGTAGAATTATAACCTTTGTTTTTGTGCTTGTTGCATCTCCTCAATCTTGTTCTTTTCACTTGCTTCACATGGAGGTTGTGTGATGCTATTGCCTTCAATGTTCATTCTTATCTTTGTTACCCAATAACATCTACATCACAATTTCATAACTCTTTCTAGAGCAAATGGGGTTAGTCTCATTGAATACCATATGAATAGATTCAATACTATTACTTCTTTTTATATGCATCGTATCATATGATAGCAAATATCAAAAATTTTATTCATCGAAATCAACCATGACTATGCATGTATTCAAGTGCATGACATACATTTGCACATAATCAAATATCATCAAAATCACTCATCAAAAAGCAAACATACAAATTTCCTAATATACTTAACTTCCAAGTGTAAGCCTCTTCCTAAGATCATGCTTAACTTCCAAGTGCTATCATTAAAATTATGAAAATAATGAGACAAGTAAATTTGAATGAGACAAACAATGTAAAGTAAGACAAGTTATTAAAATTACTCATTTAAATCAAATCATCAACCATCTTCAAAGTGACACGTATGACATTGAAAATCACTTATACCATCAAGAGCTCATTATGAACTATATATGATAGATAGTCAATCTAATCATTCACATATGTCAAGTTTGTAGATATTATACAAGTAATATCTATAGCAATCAACAAGGTTGTATCAACACTAGAAAAGACACATCAAATGAAATCATACTCAACAAGCATATGTATCAAAGACTGAGCACACGTAAACAAATAATTAATAGTCATGTTAATGTAATTATACTCAATGAATAAATGCAATAAGATACATAATACCAATTGAGCACATGAGTGGAGCATTCAAAAACAAATTTTCTTTGCACTTTCACTCCAACATTCTTCTTGAGGCATAAGTCTTTATCAAGATCAACTTTACTCTTCTTATGACTTTGCCATCAACTTTACCTACAAAACAAAATTAAGTTTTGATTTTTGGTACCCAAATTTGCTTGGGTCCATAGGGGTTAGTGCTTAAAGTTCCTTTTGGAACCCAAATTTGCTTCACTTTACCTTGAGCTATCAATCTCTTCAAAGGACATACATAGGCAAAGAGTCCCTTTGCACCACAACAATAGCAAGTAACATTAGGATGAAAGGATTGACTTGCTCTTACAAAAGAATTCTTAAAAGTCTTTTGCTTTTTAGAATAATCAAATCTACTGCCCCCTTTGTCATAAATACTTTTTTGAGATTTTAAGATAGAATCAAAATTTTCTTTACTCAAGGTAAATTTGGAAATCACATTCTCAAGATCACAAGCTTTGCTCTTTAAAACCTCATTTTCCTTCTTTACATCCTCATTTTCCTTTTTCAAAGCTTTACTAGACTCCTCATTCTTTAAAGATGCAATTTCAGCATTTAAAGACGCATTTTCTTTAACTAAAACCTCATTTTGTTTTGAAAGAGATACAATCTCACTTTTAAGTGATGAAATGGTTTTAGTAAGAGCAAGATTCTCATTTCCTAGTTTCTTGATATCATTCATAGAGCAATCAAGAACTTTGCATAAATCATCATAAGAATACTCAAAGGAACTTTAATTAATTGAACTAGAGAAGTTAGAGTTTACCTCCTCATCATTGTTGCTATCCTCTTGAGCCATGAAGCAAAGATTTGCAATACCATTCTCCAAGGAGCTTTCACTTTCCATTGAGCTAGTCTCATCATTGCTCTAAGTGGCGGTAAAAGCTTTCTTCTTCATGCTTTTCTTGTTTTTCCTTTCACCCTTCTTCAATTGAGAGCATTCATTTCTATAATAGCCCATCTTGTTGCACTCATAGCATTTGATATGCTTCTTGCTTGGCTTTCCTCTATCATCATCATCACTACATATTCTTCCTCTAGAATAGTGAATTTCCTTGTTTCTTCCAGAGGATGTCCTTTTGAGGCTCTTCTTCATGTATTTCTTCACTTCCTTTGAAACCAATTTGGTGATGTCCTCCTCATTGCTAGCATCATCTTCATTCTCTTCCTTTTGGTTGTTAGCCTTGAAAGCAACATTCTTCTTCTTCTTCTCAACTACTTCAACTCCACAATAAACTTGAACTTCTATTTCATATGTCATCAATTTTCCAATGAGATCTTCAAGCTTGAGAGTGTTGAGATCCTTAGATTCTTCAATTGCAGTCTTCTTGGCTTCCCAATTCTTGGGCAAGCTTCTAAGAACCTTCCTCACCACTTCTTGAGAAGGATAGACTTTACCAAGAGCCTTGAGATTGGTGACTATATCATTCAATCTTGTATACATATCTTGAATGCTCTCCTCTGGTTTTCATCTTGAAAAGCTCATACATGTAAATGAGTCTATTGATTTTTGACTCCTTCACTTGGCTTGTTCCTTCATGTGTTACCTCCAACATGTCCCACATCTCCTTGGCCGTATCACATCCGAATACTCTATGGAATTCCGTTGGATTGAGAACACATTGAAGCATGTTGATTGCTTTGTTGTTGATCATGATCTTCACCAAGTCTTCATCATTCCATTCAACTTCTTCCTTTGGCACCTCACTTTCCCCAACTACTTTCATAGGCACACATGGACCTTTCATAGTCACAATCCATGCCTTGGGCACATTTGCAAGCATGAAGACCTTCATCCTATTCTTCCAATAATTATAATTAGTACCATCAAAGAAAGGAGGCTTAGTGGTAGACAAACCTTCAAGTGGTTGAGAAGCTTGAAATTGAGCCATCCTTGATCAACTCCTAGGTGGTTAAACCTTCAAATTGGAGCCCTTGCTCTGATACCAATTGTTGACTCAATGTACTCCAAGAGGGGGAGTGAATTGGAGTTCCAAAAATTCTCTCCTTTTGCAACCACAAAACCAAAATTAAAGAGAGTAGAGAAGAAGAGCTTGCTCAATGATTTTATAGAGGTTCGGTCCAACCACTTGGAACCTAGTCCTCTACCTTGGCTTCACTCACCAATGATTCCTCCACACTCTCCACTAACAACAACAAGGGTGGCTTAAAGGAGCCACTCAATCCTTTTACAAGAAGGAGGGTGTTTCTTTCAAATCTCACCCCTTTACACTTAAACCCCAAGAATCCTCTCTACAAATCACTCTTGAAGGATTAATCACACCCCCAAGATCACTCACAAATAGAACAAGAAGAGGATTACAAGTAAAGATCTCTCAAAGATCAAAAACTCAAGTTAAAGCTCATGTAGGTAGGTAAAGATATTCAATGCAATGCTCTCTAAACTTCTTCAGATCTGTTACCAACCATATTTATAGCCCCTTGCTCGAAAATAGTCGTTTCTAGCCATTGGGGGTCATTAAATGCTCTATAGGACGCAAAGCTCGAGTTGTAGGAGAGCCGCCTTAACTTCCTAGAGCTGGCCTTGCACAGCCGGCTCACCATTTCTGCAGCCGGTTTTGCGGGATTCTGCACATTTTGTTTTCTCCGTAGAGCCGGTTGCAAAACACAAAGCCAGTTTTAAAACACAAAGCCAGTTTTGCGGGTTCGCTGCACATTCTGTTTTCTTCCACCGTCGGCTGCAAAGCTTAGAGTCGGCTTTGGGATTCCAACTTTAAACACATTAAATAATCTTCAAATAACTTGACCGTTATGCATTAAATGCACCCTCACAGCTGGTTGCAAAGTTGGAGTCAGCTTTGCGTCTTTTCTCCGCGCGCGCCAAACAACTTGCTTTTAACTTTTTACTCGTAGAGCCGACTGCAGCTTCTAGAGACGGCTCTCTGCACTTCCATAGCTGGTTGCAAGTTTCAACAGCTGGCTCTCTGCATATTTTCAAGCCTTTTGGTCCATTTTTAGTACAGTCCAAGTTTACTTACTTTGCAATCTTTTGACATTTTAACTACACACTTAAATGAATCAATTAGTCACTCAAATGTGTTTTGTAATCATCAAAATCATAGATACAACAGAATAATAAACAATAGGCAACTAGTGAGGATCATCCAATAGCCAATACTTCCATAGAGTCAAAAGTAATAAATAATCACAACCTTAATTAAGATTTAAGATGAGGACCAATAATTACTTGCTTCTAAAGAGAGAATTACCAGAACATTAGACCATGAACGGATGAGGCTAACATTAAGCACTTACTAACTGCGAAAACATTATTCATACAAATATAATT